CCACTTTGTTTTCCAAAATGCATATTTTCGTCAAGTTGAAGGATTGGCTATGGGTAATCCTCTCAGTCCGGTACTTGCTGACATTTATATGCACTATTTTGAGATGAAATTATTTGATAAATTATCTTTTCGTCTTTGGATTCGGTATGTTGACGACACTTTCGCACTTTTTGACGGTTATAAAGAGGATTTATCCGAGATTCTATCTATTATGAATTCAATTGATCCAGCCATCCAATTCACTCTTGAAATTGAATCCAACAATTCCCTCCCCTTCCTCGATATTCTTATAATCCGCAATGAAACCGATTTTAGCACCACTGTGTGTACCGTAAACCCTTTGCAGTTTGTTTACCACCCCATGCCAAGTCATGCCACCCTGTTAAGCAAAAAAATGGCTTCTTTTTACTATTATGTTTTCCGCGCGCTAAAAGTTTGTTCCTCTGAATCTTTGCTTACCAATGAACTTAATTATTTGAGAGCAGTTGCGATTGACCGTGGATTTTCTCCCGTGATTATTGATAAAGCCGTCAAAAAATTTTCAGATTCCCATCAAAGAAGACATTCCACTGTTAGAAATAATATCAATGACCTTGTCGTGCTTCCATTTTATCCTTCTGTTAGCTATAAAATTGCACGGATTCTCCAGAAATTCAATTTTCAAGTCGGTTTCTCCCCTATTAATAAAATTCACCCTTCGATTCTAAAAGATTGCGTTTCTGTCTTGAATTCTTGGGGAATTTATAGTATATCATGTCAGTGTGGTTTAAGATATATTGGCCAAACAAAAAGAGCGTTGAAGTTTCGTATCAAGGAAACATGAATCTTATGTCAAAAAAGGGGAAATTAACAAGTCTTCAATAGCGTATCATAGCTGGACTTTTAACCATAATTTTGATTTTGGGTCTGCAAAAATCATCCAAAAGGCTTCTTCCATAGGCGAATTGGATTTTCTTGAGGCTTTTCACATTCACAAAGATTTAGAAAGTTTAGTTAATGATTTGAAGTCCAATCCAGTCCTTCCTAATGCCTTTAAAATTCTACTGTCTTAATTCAATTATTTTTGCCGATAGATGGCGTTACCTCCTCGCACTTGGTACTACCAGAGGGTATAAAAAATCCGTTCAGTGGTTGCTTTCCATTATTTGAAGTTCAGATTTTGAGCGTAATGTGCATTTGCCCCTCGCTCCCTATTTTAACTTCGCTAATATTTCTTTATGCTTGATCAGACAGCCTGGCTCAGTAAAAGTAGGCGGCCAGTGCAACTCTGATTAAAAATCTAGTTATAACGACGTGCAGTGCTGATAAGCACCACGTGTTTCTGTGATTCCTATTTTGTTCTTTCTATGTATTTCTTTCTCCTGATGAGGAGGGACCTTTAGCTGCCCTCGAAATCGATTGAGTGTTTCATTATACCTACGCTAAATATAAGGTTGTTTTTCACGGTTTTGATAGTACCCATCATTCAAGAATTTTTTTCTAAATTAAACATTGATGCAGTAGGCCCCCTGCCGGTCAGTCGAACAGGAAAACGTTATCTAATAACAGACATATGCTTGTCGTCTAAATACCCTGACGCTATTCCAGTGAGTGAAGTGAGTTCAGTTTCTGTGACGGATGCCCTGATTAATATTTTTAGTTGTATGGGTTTTCCGAGATCGCCAATGTGATCTCGCAACGTCTTTCGTAAGTGCACTTACTATGGAATTTTTTGATAGGTTTGGGATTAAGGTTAGTCATAGTTCGGTTAGCCATCCTCAATCGAACGATTTCATAGAACAATCAAATGACTCTTACGAGCTCTATGTCTGGAGGCTGGAACAGATTGGGAAAAAAACCTTCCCTCAGCATTGTTTGCCTTAAGAACTGTAACCCATGAAAGCACTGGGTTTTTACGTGCCGAATTAGTGCACGGTAGGAATTTAAGGACACCCGAAACCTTATTATTTGAGCATTGGACGGAGAACAAGAATGAAGAAAATCCAGCAACTGAATATGTTTTCGAATTGATCAATAAATTAAAATAGTGTTAGGAGATCGCAGTACAAAGAATGGAAGACCTGCAAATTAAGCGTAAGCTATGGTATGATAAAAACGCAGTAAAGCGTTCAAAAAAGGGGATTTAGTGTTGGTTTTCGCTACATTGAAATCAAATAAGTTGGCAGTCCAGCAGTTGGGGCCGGGAGTTATCGAAAACAAAATATTGGATACAAATTACATTGTAAAAATGTCTGGAAAAAAGTCTCATATTTATCATGTAAATATGTTAAAACCCTATTATAAAAGACCTGAGGAAATCAATGCCTTATCATCTGAAAGTAAGAATGAAGAAGGCGTGGATCAAGAGGTAGATTTTTCATATTTAGATCCAAATCCTAACATTTGCGATTTCAAAAACATCATTGAATCTAGCAGCTTAGATGATTGGTTGGAACCTCGCCATGTAGATCAATTACGAGATTTACTAAAGAGATTTTCTAAGAATTTCTCCAAAGAGCCGGGAATAACGGAATTAGTAGTGCACGACATTGAATTAATAAGCGACAAATGAATTAGATCTAGACCCTATAAAGCATCCCTAAGGCAAATGGAAATTTTGAAAACGTAGATTCAGAGGATGCTAGATTTGCACATAATGAAGGTAGGGGAATTGGACTACACTTCGCCTATGATTCTAGTGGAGGCACCCAGGAAAGACCCGAGACCGTGTATAGATTACCGGTGCCTAAATGAAGTAATGTGCACTGAGTTCTTTCCCCTGCCAAATATAGAGGAAAGAGTGGAGCTTGTTTCGTCTGCCAGGTATATTCTAGATTTGGCAAAAGGATACTGGCAAACTCCTCTAAGTCCAAGGGCCCAAAGATTGGCAGCTTTCGTCACAAAATTTGGAACATATAGACCACTGCATATGCCATTTGGGTTGAAAAACGCTCCTTACTTTTTCAGTAAGTTGATGGCTAAGTTATTAAAAGGGTGTGAAGGCTTTGCTGTCCCGCATTTACACAATGTTGCTATTTTTTCCAATACTTGGGAAGAACATATGAAGCATTAAATTGCGTTTTGGGAAAAGTAACTGCAGCAAATTTGACTATTAAGCCGTCAAAATGTCATTTTGCTCAAAACCATGTAACGTATCTGGGGCACATCGTAGGACAGGGAATCAGACGACCGGCTGAGGCAAAAGTTAAAGCAGTAGCTGATTATCCCACTCCGAAAACAAAAACTCAAATAAGGGCGTTTTTAGGTTTGGCAGGTTATTACAGCAGGTATATTCCCACGTTTTCGGTTATAGCTTCTCCAGTCATGAATGCATTAAAGGGGGGAAATTCTTTGGACAAAGGAATGCGAAGACGCATTTATTCAGGATTTAGGGATGGGAGTAGTATTAACACAAATGGATGAGAACAACACTGAACATCCCATCTTGTACTTAAGCAAGAAGTTTTCAGTGACGAAGCTACGTACAGCACAACTGAAAAAGAATGCACATGTATAGTTTTTGCTGTAAAAAAACTGCATTATTATTTGGACGGTCCAAAATTTACTATAATTACTGACCACAACCCCTTAGTTTGGTTAAAAACTAATGCAGGCTCTAATCCCAGGCTAATGCGGTGGGCTTTAGCCCTGCAGCCGTATAATTTCCAAGTTATTCACCAAGCTGGGAAGAGCCATAAAAATGCTGACACTCTAAACATGTCTGCATCTTTAAAAAAAAAAAAAAAAAAAAAAAAAAAAAAAAAAACTAGCTTTTTATTTATCATTGTATTTCTTTTTTTAATTTTATGTACTTTAATTGTGTCACTACTGGCCTTGATGTAATATCATGGTACTTCTATGTCATTTTTTTCTTATGTATGTGTGTAACTAACTCTTTGTCTCAAATATACCTAAACATTTTGATGAGCAAAATGTTTCTTCGAAGGGGGAAGGAGCTGTAACGTTCCCCTTCTCTGAAGAACACTTGGTCACCCACCCTAAAAGAAGGGACAGAAGACCCTCTTCTCGCCTCGGCCGGAAGAGGGGAGTGGACTTCCCCCTTGGTTGCAGGTGGGAGAAAGAAAGGAGATTGAGATTTGAAAGAGAAAAGAACGGACGCTGGTTTGCACGCTCTACTGTAGTGAAAATGTATTTTAAAATTTTCTAAATTGTAATCTGTACATAGTTTTATATAAAGATAAATATTTAGCCTAGAACAGGTCTTGTTTCTTTGACAGAGATACGACTATGGTACATCGCCCCTTCTGGACTGCTTACTTCAAACGGTCGACTTGTGTACAGTATCAGGCCGAACTGATGGTTTCGCCAGGTTGCAGCAGCTCATAATGAGCAATTACCTTCCAATCTCGACATTAAAATTTCAGGAATGGAATAAAGTAAACCACTGCTGGGTCCTTCGTTCCCACTGTATACTTCAAAAATTTTTCGGCATGTCATTGAAGCATTTTTACCCTTTTTATAGTAAAAAAGCATCACATACCCTATTTCTTCAGATATTTCACTCATTTTCAAATCAATATAACTTTTGACATGAGCAAAAAAATTAAAAAACTATCTTCACAAACAATGGAAGCTGAATGTCATTTTTTAAGCGCCTGTTTGCTTAAGACAATCAGGTGAGTGCTGCTGGATATATAGGCATCAATGCCATTGAAAAGCAAAAAAGCGCAGAGACTTTTATATGACCCAATATTTTATCCTACTAATATCAAATTTTGAGAAAAAGAACATTTTTACATACCTCCTAGGAAATACATCTTGTGGTAAATACTTGCAACATGGATTTTTTTTTAATTTAATGTGTTATTAATAAAACTTATTGTATAAAAGGAATTTTACATACATTACTTATTTTCTTATTATTTAGAACAATTGAATATCTACATTGTGAAAGCAGACAATTTTTTTTCAATATCAAAATTTCAAGAATACACATAATTCATAATTGTATACTAATGTATTACAGATGTGAAGTATGAAGGCAATTATTAAATTTTTACCTTAACAAGCTCCAAATCAACTTGAAGAATATTTGCAAGCTGAAAATAACAAAAGAGGTAGTGAAACAACAGATTATCAAAGGAGAGAAATGCTAGCATCTGAAGAAAATGGAAATAATTTGTAGTATTATGCAAAACAAAATAAAACAAAAAATTCATGCAAAACTTTGAAGAATACACACCAATAATGACACAATACAAATGTGCATGATGATCACAATTTATATGTTGCTACAGAATATTTTCTGATACAATAATTAGTTTCCATGTGGTATAGTGGTAAGACAGTGACAAGAGAAATTAAGTTCTGTAGCCAAGGCACATAATATATATGACATTAAAAATGCCACATAATGATTACAGTTCATATGTTTCTACATAATTTCATTATAATCTTCAGGGTTTAATCTTGATGTAGTGTGTAGGAAGGAGAGCAAAGGGGGGGGAATTGGCAGCCAAAGTACACAATGACTAGCATCTTTCACTAATCATACTACAAATATAAATATTTAAAGAGCTTGTTGCCATCAAAAAGTATCAAAATACTTAGTGCTTTTGAATTTCAAATGACCCTCTTCAATTTACTGGTATGTGATTTTCTGCTGTAATTCAGAAGCTAAGTGAAACATATTATGCTGAGTAATATTAATGATTATAATATGATTACTAGTTTAATCACAGCATGAATTACATGGAATAGAGAAAATAATATCTCTTTAGATGATAATATAATTCTTTTCAATATGCTAACAATTAATCAGAAAAACAAATATACAATGGTGATGCATCACAAATTTACAATTCTATATAATTTCCCTGAAAATAAGACCTAAAAAATAAGCCCTAGCATGATTTTCAAGGATACTCCTAATATAAGACCAACTCCTAAAATAAGCCCTAATTAAGATCGTCAGTCAGACAGGTTACCAAATGACAAGTGTAGACAGAAGTTACCAAATGACCAAGTGTAGATGCAACACACATGCACATTTGAAACAAATGATCTGGTTGCAACAGATTAGAATCTTCAGTACACAATATGCTGCATTAGCAGAAGACATTTAGCACTTGATTTAATGACAAATTTAAAGGATAATAAATTTTGACACCCAAACAATAAGAATGCAAAAAGAAAGAGGTTTCCATCGAGTACGAGAAAGGAATTGTGGACGACTCAAAAGATAAAAATCTTACAGCTTTCTGCAAAGAGAATTTCGATGTATGAATATGCCTATAGTGGCAATCAGACCTCAGTGGTCAATGAGAGAAATGCAAAGAAGTGTGGATCAGATTGGCAGCCATTATTTTCTGAATTGGAACACATCATCTGTGATGTGATTTCTGACAGAAAAGCAGTGCTTGGCTATTCTCCGGGATGATAATCAAACATTTGTCCTTGCAATGCCACCACAGCTAGACATATTGCCAGACTAATTCAAAGCATCGCAACACTGGGTGGATAGTTTTCTTCAGTGATATGAACTATCTCTGAGAAAATTGACAATACTGATCAAATTGGAAGATATGGGAAGTGATTAAATGTGCGCTTGCATTCAAGTGTTTAGTTGATGGTATTGACTTCTCTTAAATACCAGCTGTTGAACACGACTCCTATGAAACTGCAGTGTTTAGGGGTCAAGGGTCTCAAACTACCATTGATCAGAGTGGTGCCTCTGCAATATACATTCCCTTCACCTTTTAAGAAAGTACACACATTACATCTATTTTGGCACATCATCTTGATGGAAAGAAACCCCTCAAATAATCTATAAGGGCAAGAAAGAGAAAATCAAACATGTTTCAGGTTTTTATGTTCTAGAGACTGAAAAAGCTTGGTGCATGAGACAGCAATAAGAAAGTAGGTCAATTTAGTTCTTGTTCGAGTTACTTGTTTTGAAAGGTGGCCAAAAAGGTATGTTAGTGTGGGATTCTGGTTTTACAGATAAGGAACTACACCACAGATAAACAAAAAGACTTTTTCCAAACTGATGTCTTAAAGGTGGGAGCACAGAAATGCATAGAATACATTTATAACCCTTAACTTCAGATGCTCAGTCATGAGAAAGTAAAAGGTCCAGTCTAAACCTTCCAAAACAAAACATATCACATGCCTTTCCCACCAGATTTAATAAAGGGCACTGAAAGGATATGGGAAGGAAATATGAATTATTTTTAAATGCATAACTACACAGAAAAACTTGGATAAATTGAAGTGTAAATGCTGAATTACAAAAAGAAAATTATGAAGCATTGCTAGTATAATGAAACCTTGCATATGCACAATACATAGCATGACACTACAGTTCACTAAGATTTTCATAACAAAAAATTCTTACTTAAATCAAGAAAAACATTTTCTACTCCATTCAATAATGCCCATTGTTTGCAATAATGTTCCTGGAAATTGTGGACATTCTTCTCTAGTTATCACATGGAAAACCCTCATCACGTGGTTTTAAAGTACTGGAATATACGAAAACTATTCTCCTCTTAGGGCTCACTTCAGGTTTTGGAACAGAAAGAAGTCTGGTGCAGCAAAATCATAGAGTAAGGTAGATGACCAGGAGCTACAGCTCTTCTACTGGCCATAAACTCTTTCATGATGAAGACTGAATATGGCCAAGCATTATTACTTTAGAGAAAGAACCAAGAGCCCATCTCAATGTTTTCTGGATGTATATGACAGATCCTTTGGAATAAATTTGCTAAACCATCCTTGTATATGTTAGCATTTATTACTGCTCTTTCTGATATCTTCTTTAATTTTTTATTAATTAATTATGATGAATTATTAATGATTTAATTTTTGATTTTCATTAACACCTTCTTTAATTTTTTAATGTTTTGTCCCTACAAGAAGCTGTAGGACTACCATTTCAAGCAGCATTTATAAATGCATTTATGAGACAAAAGTTTCATCACTGTAATCCATAATCGTCGGTTTAACATGTCATACAAATTTAACGAGCTTGAAACAGAGAAAAAAAGAACACTAAATTCATCCACTACATTCCGGCTCTTCGGTTCAGTTCTTCCTAGAGCTCAACACGCTCTCTCAACGATGCACTAACCACGATACACTAAGAGACTCTTCAATGCACTCGGCACTAGACTTTGAGACACTCGCTCTGTGACTGACTATCAGCTCGCTAGATGAGGCACACATTGACTGCGAACCAGCAGGGTTTATATAGCTTTCGGCTTGTGTTCGAGGACATTCTGAGCCGGTAAGAATTTGTTCCAGAAGGTTCTCCATCCGTCCATGGCATATCGCCAATTTTGTCGCCAAATGTGGCATCCCTGCCTTCCTTGCTATTTTATGGCAACCCGAAAACTGCTTTGTGAGGAAGATATCTCATCGTGCCTGTACATTACGTAACATTATTATTATTATTATGTATGCATGCAGTTTTGCACAAGTGTGCAATCGAAATGCATGTACCATACACTATATTACAGGTCAATTTTTTAAAGATCTCATTTTAAAATAACAGAAAAATTCAGAAGATATTATATAAAATATAATTTTCATTTCTATGAAACCATTAACTTATATCAAATTAAAGGTAATTTTAAAACTTCACTTATTTATAATGGTTACATCCACATTATATCTGTTACATCCCATATCGCATTCATGTTACACATGAGTAAACCAGGGTTGCCACTCAAACAGGAGAATGAAATTCCCTGACTTTTTCAGGTTTTCCAGGTGTGTTTTAAGAAAATTCTAGTCTATCCATGTAATGCACGTTGGCTGTGCTAAGAGATAAATTAATTACGGTATTACTTGAGAACACAAAAATTTGCAAATTACATATGACTTATATATATATATAAATATAATCCCCAAAACATTACTATTTTAACTATAAAGGAATTGTTTTCTCCACTGAAGATTGAGATTAGAATCTTCTCAATCTGGATTAAAAAATGTCTTTTTTTGCAGACATTTTGCAGCTAAACGAAAAAAGGAAATATATTTAATGATATTTTAAAATAAATTCAAGTATTTTATATTTATTCAGCAGCCTACATAAGAAAAATATGTGCATTAAATTTCGTGATGGCATGTCGTCATACTGCTAAAATTCATTTCAGGATTTTGCCAGAGAAAACTTCTTGAAAATTGAAAGTATTATATACTAATAATAAATAAACTTAGAGGGAAGAAGTAGCATTAAATGATATGAATAATATAAAATAAAGATAATTACTTGAATTAGAATAATCAACGATATTTTAGCAAATATAGTTATATTTAATGGTTAGCCTAGATGAATGATTACTATTTTTTTATTTTACTGCAAAATGACAAATAAGGCATTTATTAAAAAAAAAAAAAAAAAGATTTTGTGGTAAATCCTAGCATACGGTAAGGCCTTGGCATGATTTTGAAAATTGTCACCAACACCAAAATGACCCGCTTACTGTTCATCATAATGTCGCCATACCCTGTGTGTACCGTACATGGAGGTTAGAATAGAATACATGGAGGTTATTTTAACCAAAGAATGTCTATATAAAGAAGGAAACCTTCCATAGACGTAATGCTATTATGGCGCTAGAAAGTGGAGGGAAAATTCGGCAAGGGATTTGGCGACGAAACCTAGTGGCCAGAATTTCCCTCTCCGCGATATATACAGGAAATTGAGGAACACGTGTTAAGAAGAAACATTCTTTGACAAAAAGTTTCTTCTTTGATTTTTCACAATAATTTAAACCCGGATTTTCATAGTTCCCCCCCCTCAAAATAACTATTCCATTAATTAATTTAATTGCGCGAAAAAATATTTTCTTTTGCTTACGAAATTCATTTTATGAACTCTTAATAACATGACCTTCGAACTTTGACACCAGCATCGAGCTTTGGAGACAGATATTTCGCACATGCGCAGCTGTTTCCCTCTACATTGGAACGGAGCCACTCGTGTTGCAGAGTTTTCCTTCTTAAGAATACATATTCTTTGATTCTAACTTACATAGTACCGTACACTAGGATTAAACTGATTTTGTTTTATAATAGAATTATTATTTTGCTTAGTTCAACATGGACTGCACATGCATAGTTCAACATGGACTGCACATACGCATGTGATTCTCGATTCTCGAGGTTACTGGAAAACAAAGTTGCTGGCTACTTGGCTTTATGCCAGCTGCCTGAATGATGCTCAAGCGATACACACTTTGCCAAGAAAGTTATCGCTTCCAAAGTTGGCGCAAAACTCGATTTTCTGGGGGGAATTGCCGTATCAATTTCCCTGACTTTTCCAGATTTTGACTAAAATATTTAAATTCCCTGACTTTTCCTTGAATTTGCTTTGTCAATTTTTGAATTCCCTGACTTTTTACGGTTTTCCAGGCAGCGTGACAACTGACTGCTGAGAGACTGGCCAGCCACTCCTCTCCAGCAAATACGGTTGATGAAGTGTGGCATCAACTTGAAGCAGCATGGAATGAATTGCCCATTTCTGTCATCCAAGCCCAGTTCGACTCCATGCTTTACCAGGTACGGGCCAATTTTGCACCCCTGTAGCTTCCCAAACTGCTTACAAATTTAATCATTTTGTCCTTATGCCATACTACATTACAATAAATATTTTTTATTTGTTTTCGTTCATGGTGTTGCAATTTTAATGGCCAGCAGTGTATTGAAGTTCATATAAAAAGTTAATCATACCAGCTCAATTTTTTTTCTTACCTCTGCAACAGTCGTGTGTTCATCTATAGAAACAAATATTTTATATAAAAGTGTTTCTAAATAATCACCCAAGACTCTGTTCATGACAAATCCTTCAAGAGGAGGAACTACAAATAAAAATTATTAAGTTAAAGATCATCTTGAAAAGGAATAAATATTGAAAAATGTAAATTTGAAGTGTTCAAGAATATACAAAATAAGTTCATATATTAGCTAGTTTTACAGGAGGGAAGAAAGCTATTTTTTAAACATTTTCAATGTACTTTTTTCTCATATTAACAAACTCATGCAAAAGTACTCTACTTGAACTCAACTACAATACTATAACTTAACTAGTCCATGTTCCTTACACAATATAACAGCAAACCATTCTCCTACATGGAAATTATTAATGCCTATATGAAACATGTCATTTCAAAAATTAATTTTTTTACTCTTCACATACTTGAACTTGAAACTTGAAATAAAAAAGTTAACTGAAACTTGAAATAATACTTACAACTTGAAATAAAAAAGGTGTTTACCAAGTTAAATATTTTAAAATTTCAATTTTCAAACCAGAAACCAGATTCAACACAGTAAAAAAAAATCTTTAAAGGGAGGAAATAACATAAAATGGTCTCAAATTCAAACTGCATGTGGGGCCAAATGCTCAATCTGAAAGTAGCTCATGGACTAGAATACTTTTTTTAAAAAAAAATTTACAACATTGTAAACAAAACAAAATAAATTAGAAATTTTACTTACTAAATATTTATCAAAGCATACATAGATAATAACACAAAGGGGAAAAAAATCAATTTTATATTTATTTTCTATTTATCAGTCTAAAACTGGTATCTGCAAGAAATTTCTATTTATTATACTTTGTAATTTAAATGAATCGATTAAATTTAGATTGACATTTATTTCAGGTAATTCCAGTATCTTCAATTAACTATTAAATAACTTACTTTTAACTGTAACCAGAAATTTTAGTATACTAGAGCACCACCAGCTGTTGGCTGGTACACTAAATCTACTGACCCAATGTGGGAAATTGTCCCACACTACACTAGACATATCGCCTGATGTACAAGCATAGAATGATAAAGCCCTAAGTTATTCATTCTTTATTCCTTCAATAGCACTCGCACACATAAGCTTAACCTATAGCTTCATATCTTTAAAACCATAAGTACCATATTTGCTACAAATACATAAGTAAAATATTTTCGACAGGTGAATAAAATCACTTCAGGGACTGCGAGTTCGACACCACTGACACAGAACATCCCAATTCAGATCTTCTAGCTTTCACATTTCGCATCTTCAATTTTAAAACTCAGTATGCAAGTTGATTAAGTTGAAATTTCATATAAAGTATCATTTCCCCAACATACACAGAGTGTTTGAGAAAAAAGGTATAAGCTTTACTTTCTTAATTTTGATTCTAGATACACATCTCCAATTACAAAGAATTTTACAAAAAGGTAGAGAATTTTATAGAAAAAAGCTTGAACAATGGAAGAAATAAAACTAAAAATGTCCCCCCCCTTATCTGCAAAAATCAGATAGTTATTCACAAACGAATTTACTTAAATCATTTTTCCATGCCTTTTACTAACTTCAACACCATTTGCAGAAAGTTTAATTAGCGATCATGTTAATCATGTACTTTTTTTACTAATTTGGTTGTCTAAAATATTTTTCTGATAGTCAATTTTCTTTGTCATATATTAAAATAATTAAAATTCATATATTTTGACTAAGAGGTATCAAGACCAAAACTAAAATAATCTGAATGTCTATATAATTTGATTCTCTTCTTAAAGTGGAATAATTAATATCAAATCAAATGATCCAGATATATTTAACAGACAGCCAGAATAAAGAGAACCAGTAAAACATGGGTTAGATAAATTGCTGTGTTCTTCTAAAGGGGAGGGAGACAGTCTATTTGTCTCCCTGACCCTCTCTAAAGCTAGCCGCATAAGATGGAAAAACCTCCTGGCAAGTGTACAATACGTTCTCTTAACTGGAAAATGCAAATGGATAGAATTCAGAAGCTAAAGCCCGGCATCTCACCGCTTCTTTGAAAGCAGATGTAGGCGATTCCCTTCCAACTCTCCCTAAAACCAGAGGCTACACTTTGAAGATCTATCTGGTGTGTTAGAGATGCACTTTGGCAAGAAGTCTTTAAAGACTATAGCAGGTTTCAGTTAAAATCTCGCCAACAGAAGCCCACAGAAACACTCCAGGAGCTCGTCACGGATTTTGCAAGGTTGTGTCATCTCGCCTTTTTGTACTGCCTAACAGAAACATGAGAAATTCTATCCCTGCAGTACTTCATCAGTTGCATCCAGGACCCTGAGATACAGAAAGCCATGCAAATGGCAGATGTCAAGGATGTAAACAGCACTTTAGTGTACGCCATGAAGTTGAAAGCAGCCTAGGAAGCAACTCGCAGAGACTGTTATCCAATCAAAGCTGCTTATGTCCAGGAGCCAACAGATCAATTGATTGCTCATCTAGATGACTTAACTACAAAGGTGAAATACAAGGCCCTCAGGTGGAATACAAGTGGCAATAAACCAATGCTTAAGTGCTGGAACTGTGATGGTGAAGGCCACATTTTAAAGCGTTGCAAAATACCTCTAAACAACAGAAAATAAGACTGCTCTCCAGTAAGGAGGCAAGAAACAAATCAATGGCCATCTTTGCAAAGCATAGATTGCACATATGAGAAGCCCCATTTTAAAGTGCTTCAGATTTCTGCAGTAACTGGTAGCAGCAACAGACATTTCAGCATGAGACATATAACGAGAGTTCCCTGCAATATGGCTATTGATATAGGAGCCAATGTTACCATCATCTGAAGAGATCTGTCTCAACAAGTGGAAGGTACACTCATCTGGATGTCGCCCTGAGTTACACTCCAGACTACTATGTCCAATGATAAAATAAAAATCAATGGAAAGTTAAACATTAAAATCATGTTTGGAAGTGCTGTCTACCATTACACAAAATATAATCCTTCACACTCGGATTAGACATGCAAGGACTACTAGTAGCCTAAGGAAAAAAAAAATGTTTACTTGGGTTTTAAAAATAAAACTATATTCTACCTCTGAGGACATAGCCATGTTCAGAATTAAAGATGAAGGAGTTAAATTCATCCACCATATCACAGCTCAAGATGATATCACAGTATGAAAAATTCATACTTCCTGGTTCCATGGCCGAAAACAGAATATATACATTCCCAGTATGGTATAACAGAATATTCCAAAATCGGTAACAGCCTTAAAGCAATACTAGTAAATTTAGCACTCATCGAAATATGGACAACTGCCATCACAGTGAGCACTGTCAATGTTAGTGCTAAGGCAAAAGATATTAAGTAAGAAGTTATTGCAGCACGTACTCCAATTATATGCATTAATCAAAGCAGTAGTCCTTCAGTTTCTCTGTCTTCAGAAACCCTAATATCAGAGTTATTACAGAATGCACACCTATTCAGCACACCCTGTTTGGAATTAAAGGAGTTAAATACGTCTGTCAAATAGTAGCTCATGACAATGTCACAGTACCAGGAAGAACAGAATTTTTACTACCTGGATCCATGGTTCAAAACAGAAGTTTCCAGCACAGTATAATGGAACATCCTAAAAACTATAACACCACGTATTATGTCGCGAATTTTAATTATATTAATGTTTGTTTTAAGTTATTATTCTAGTATTTTTATTTGTACTTATGTATATTTTAATCTGGTAAAAAGAGTATTTTCAAATTGTTAAAAGCTTTATTTAGCTCGTTATTCTTGAAATTGTAGCGTAACAAAAACAGGAAACGTTTACGCAAACAAATCTGGTTAAAGGCCTTTTTCTCTTAACAGTAGAACTGAAGGCAGTTAAGGTGTTTGTCGTCTTTTTTACTATGGAGGTCGTAAATCAGCTTTCTCATTCTCACTTGCTTTCGCTTTGTTATACTTGCAATGATTCCTTCAGTAAGTTAGGTAATTGGATTCTCTTCTCACTTAGTTTCCGTTTGTTAGCTGGGGGGCTCCACCTTACTTCCCTCACAATAAATCAAAAACAAGGCAATCTGACAATGGAGTTCAGATGGTCTGGACTCCATTGTCAGATTGCCTTGTTTTTGATTCATTGTGGGGGGTGTAATTTTCTCAGTTAAAGTAAAATTCTGGGAAGATTTCATTTTGTGATTCTTTTGTAAGCCTATGAAATTTTCAAGGGCAGAGAGACCGAGTTTAACTCGGAGGCTGCACGTTAGAAGAAGTTAGTCTTCAGTCTGGATTCTGATTTTTGAGCTATAAGGAAAAGGAGAAAAGAGTGAGGGCTTGACCCCTTGCAGGTATTGCTCTTGCGAGCAACGTGAACCAGCACACCAGCGGTTATGGATTCCTGGCATTGAGCAGATGAGAATTTGCATTAAAAAAAGTGTTAGAACACAAAAAATTTATACCACTGTCATTTCTCCATTATAATTTTCCGAGAATTATAAATAGATATTCTCGAGATGATGCTGATACCAGGGGATTTTTCTGTTTATCCTGCCCAGTGCCTTTCCAGTTACGGTCCTTTCAAGATGTTTTTCCTGGTTTATTGAAGCGTTCCTGATAAAGAATGCTCCTGAGTGTGTGACTGTTAGTGAATATACCTGACACTTGGAAGTTCCGGATCAATGTGACTATCCGTCGCTTGTGCTTCCTGACACCTAGACATTCCACACAGAAATATGTTCCTGAAAAATGAACTTTTTCCTGATCGGGTGGTTAATTTTACAAAAAGGACTTCACCCTGTTTCCAGAAATTCTTGTGTGCAGAATGGATTTCAATGCACGAGTGTTAGTTTATTAACTGTAATCAAGGTGTTGGCTCAAGGAAACAGACTTCCTCCGTGAGAAAAAATGGACACTTCCCTCAAGATTATATGTTCCGGAAAATCTGCGAGTGATTTTTAAATTTGTCTACCTCTGGATCTTTTCAAATTACTTAGAAGAAAAACATTTGTTTTATATGTGTAAACTACTAAGTGATTAGAATATTTTGAATAATGACCAGTTAATTTAAATTTTGTAAATGAAGGTTTAAAGATTTGTGTT